AGGCGGCATCTCCATGTAAGATGACGGCGCATTGAGCAGTGTCATTTGTAGGTGTGGGGGAACCAATGGCGGCTCCTTTGCGAAATCTTCAGATCCAAGCTGCAGGTTGTTATAACTTGAGTCAGGGGACTGGGGAGGTTCAAAACCAGAAATGCTTCCAATGTCTTCTGGAACATAATCCTGTAGAAGAAACCAATAATATCAATCAGCTTCGTGGACTCGCACATACTATTCCAACAAGTTGTCATACTATTGTTCAGACTCAGATAGCCCAGCAATGAGAAAATGCAAGTGCATGATTCTGCTTGCATGTTATATATTTCTGCCATGCCATTTTAGAGATTAAGAACTGACAGCACTAATTCAGAAAAAGATACAAGAAAAGAGAAATCAACACAATGATTAAAAATCCTCATTTAAATGTGTAATTTCAATTGATGGAGTACATGAAGTACAACGTTCAAAAGCTAAACCTGGTATCATTGAGATCAGTGTTTTTAAAAACCTGCCGTTGGATTAACCATCCTTCTAGTGCTTAGCATGCATGCCGAATTTTACATGAATTAAATCTCAATTAGTATCTGACCCATAAACTCACGCTCCTTGCCTATTTTAAAACAATTATAAAAAAAAACAACATTTTGAGCTTTTCTTTATAAATGAATGAAGGTGTTATAAATTTCTGATTATCTTCAAAACCTGTGAGCATGACAAGCATAAGGAGAAATTCTAATCCAATAGATCAAACTAAAAGTACAGGGGTGTAGCAAAAAGATGGTTAAACCGGGTGTAATTTGATCCTTCTCCCATATGCTGAAACTCTTTATGTCACAGGCATCGGCCGCCCTGATTATTCTCTATATAAAATCCAAAACATGAAAGAAAGGACTAACTAAAACTCACTGAAAAAGAAAAGACAAAGATCTCCCGGAACCTTATTGAACATCATTTCCAAAAAAGGAAAAAAAATCTTTTGAAAAACAGAAATTTGGTAAGAGAAGTTTATGAATAAAAAACTGGATACACAGTGAAAGTGAACAAAGCACTCTACCTAATGTGCAAACATGAATTTAACAGCTAAGCTAAGTTGAAGGTATTAATATCAACGTTGATGCAAATATTAAGGGTCTGCTCGACAAGTATCGATATTGAAGAAATTATACTATAATGATGGAAATCTTATGAATCTTACAACATAGGAGAAATATCAAGGAAATTATCCATATTCCAGAGTGTCTACTATAATCACTAAATATCTAAAGGAAAACAAATTGCATAAAAGTAGGATTTACATAAACAGAACTAAGACAGTATGCTAAAAAAGGTCGCAGTCAAATGAATGCTTTAACAAATTCATATGCAATACAATTTCTGAATAATGTTATTATACCTAGCATTATGCAATGCCATCATAATATCTATTCTGAGTTAAGCTCTTATTTTCTGATAAAGGAAACTTTTAAAAGCAGTTTATACTCATAAGTCCGGGATTGAGTCCCATGAGAAGGTTATCTTACTCATCTGATCTGACTAGGAGTTTCATTTTTCTGAATGAGATCAATAAACAGATGCAAGTGTTTTATAAGGATTGTCACACTCATTCGACACATGTATCAACTTAGGAAGGTATGACGATCATTACCTGCAAGTCCAAAAGGTTGTAAGAATTGCCCGCATCATCTTGGGCCAAGGGTAAGTCAGGAGAGAACCTCCACTGCCCATCAACAATAAACCTATACTGGTAAACACCGGATGGCAGTACTTTCATGATCGTGAAGTCTTTCCCTGATCTCTGTAAGGCCATTCTGAAAAAACAAGATAGAAGCAAGAACTTAGTTAAGAGTTCAGGTAGTGCAAACAACATTTAAAACTTAAACTATTTTTTATTTTATTTTCGGGAACCTTGTCTTCCAATTATCCCAGGATCCCTCCACAGCTACATCCTTCCCACCATAGCTCCATGTAATCATAGTCGGAATTCCTTGCTCACAGCACATGTCTTCAAACCCTGAAGTTTGCATCCATGAGTTGTTTGGTATGTGTATCTCATCTGGTCTTTGTAAGGGAACCACAGGGACCTGGAAAAAGTTGAACAAAAGGATGAAAATCGTGGATTGCCATAGATTGAAAATAAGGAAATACATCAGTATGAACAAAAGGCAAGGGTGCAGGTAACAGGAACGTAATTCAGGGCATTGACTGAGCTCATCATATACATAATATACTTCAGCAGAACAACAGGTTACCAATAGGTTGGTGCTCGATGGTATTAAAAGGGTTTTCAAGGGGCTAAACATTAAAATCCAAATGTTAGAGCCTCGTAGTGCACCAAGGGATAGATTCATGTAAAACGTATTTTCCAATTTCAGAATTGGTGAGAGAGAAAGAGAGAGAGGAGGGGGGATTTGGAATCAGAATTTATTACTTAGTTTCCTGTCATCAGTCACCCAACGGTTGACCACTTGTATTCCTTTTTTGGCTAATTCAATGATCCAAAATACGGACTTCTCACAGAGAACCACATAGCCAATATCAAAGATAACCAGATTGCATGATGATAAAACGATTGCTTTTTTTTCTTTTCTTCTTTCTGATTTCCAGATTAAGTACAGAAACAAAGAAACAAGAAATTATGTTTTGAATTTGCTTCAAGCAACTAGTGAGGTTCTAAGAGAAACTGATATGAATTAGGTGGTATGTCAGAAAGTTAACAATTTTAAGTTGAAAAGTTAATTGCACAGCATAATTCACACAACCAGTTCTAAGTTGAATCACAAAAGTCCCCAATTTTAAGAAACATCAATTTGATGTCACAGGAGTAAAATCTGAATCTCCATGGAAAACTAACAAAAACACGAACTTGAAAAGGAATAAATAAACAAAAGATGAGGAAAGAAAAGGAGCTGACCTGAGGAGTAAACATCAAAGGGGAGTGAGTGGCCCTAGGGCTATGAGGAGGCGATTGACCCATCAACTCAGAGGACCCATCACCGCCACCACTAACGCCACGGCCATGGGCATGACCCTCCTGCACGCTCCCACCACCACTCTCTTCCTCAGCCGCTGATGGGCTTCCACCCCCATCTTCTCTCCCATTCACATTCCCCATTTCGATTGTTTCGATATCACCACCACCAAGCACCAACCCTCAAAAATAAAATTACAGATGCATACCCACTTTGCAGAATTGGAATCCAATCTCATATGATGAAAACTTAAATCCTCAAAGCACGAAAATTTGATTGATTGGGCGTCAAAACTCGAAAAAAAAGCCCAACAGAGAAAAACCCGTTTTATATATAGAGACAGAAAGAGCGAGAGAGAGAGAGAGAGAGAGAGAGATTATTAGATTAAGAAGCACTAAGCAACAACAAACAAAGGGAGGGGGCAGATGGAAAGAAGAAAGTGAAAAACAAGGGTAAGTAATTAATTGATTGATGAGTAATAATAATAAACAATAATAAATAAAAAAGAGGTAATAATCTCCGATGAGTTTGGAAGATCGAATGGTAACCCAATGATGTTGTTGGTTTAATGGGGATGCTCTTTCACGTCATCGTATTGACAAAGTCTTTTCTTTTGCCTTTTAAGTCCCTTCTCTTCCCCTCCACAACCCACAAACTCTACAACCTACAACCCACAAGGACGATGAAGGCCCTTCACTTTCAGGACTGTCTTTCTTTTCCTTTCCTTTCCCTTTTAAGTGTTTTTTCCATTGAGTATCAATTTGTTTTTTTAAAGAATTCATTTTGTCTGTTCATTTTCTTTCCTTATTGCAAGTAGAGTGTATCGCTCTCGTCTCGTGTTAAGTAGAGTAATTTTCTTTTTATGTTATTATTATTATTATTATTATTATTATTATTGGAGAGGTGGAGGGTTTTGAATTTGAGATCCCTTTCACCTTTTTTTTTCTTTTTTTGATTGGATCTCTTTCACCTTCGAGAAGAAAATCATCACTAGACTACGAGTTACTTACAAGTTACTTGATATAAAATAAAGTAGGTCAAAATACAAAAGACTTCATAAACTATAGGGTCATTTTTAAGTTTATATCCACCTTTGGAGACATTTACAAGTATATATTCAAAATCACGGAAAATCTACAAATTGCCCCCTCCGTTACCTAAACCGTTAGTGAATTTGTTAAATATTGATATGGCAGTTGTAGGACCTATTTTTCAATGACATGGAATCCAAATAGACAAAACAACTAATTGTTTAAAAGGGGAGAGAGAGACAGAGAGAGAGAGAGAGAGAGAGAGAGAGAGAGAGAGAGAGAGAGAGAGAGAGAGAGAGGGTTGGGCCTCGGTTGGATTGGGCTTTTGAAATAAGATTCATTAGACTCCGTCAATCACCCTCTCACATACTCATTGGTCGGCAGTAGGCCTATCTATAGACTATATATTCTTAGACAAAGGCGTCCACTCCGTAAAGCGACCTGAAAACGGGAAAAGCGCCCGCACCTTGTTTCAAGAATTTGTTTTCAGTGCGGCATTTAAGCAAACACACAGCGAGCGAACCACACCGGCAGTCTCGTGAGTGATCAGTCTCTACTTTGTTTCCTCGCATATTTGTCCCTTCTCCACTCTTAGCACCTTGTCACTCACTTAATCTTTTCACTGTTTTTTACTTTTGTGTAACCCAACACCATTCTCTGGTTTCTCTGATCGAAATTGAACTAAATGGCAAATTTGTACTGCATTTTCTTGTTTCATTTTCGTGTTCACAATGCAATGCTGTTTGGTTTTGTCAGCTTGCTATGGTACTGCACAATTATACATGCCTACACATGGGCCGCACTGCAGATGGTCTTTTTAGTTTTCTTTGATAGGAGCAGTGGGCAAGCACTATCGCTGCTTTTAACTAACCAAGTTCTATTCTAGGCAGGGTTACAGTAATGGCTGATCAATATCTTGAATGCAAGGTTTCATATTATTAAAGCAGAAATCTAATGTTGGTTGAGTACAATTGTTAATATGAGTATAATAATACTGTCACATGAACTTTTTCACTTAATGGCTTCAGCTTTTGGTTTCACATTCATTTGTTACTTACATGCTTTACTTAGTTACTTGTGGCGACTAACGGCGGAACCCTTTCTGCTTCCACCTTTTCCTCTTTACCTTATTAGTCTCTTTGGTAGGGTGTGACCCAGCAACCAAATTTGCATTCCATGCATAAGCACACTCTTATATTTCCTTAAAGGGTCATGATTGCATTCCTTACATGTTATGTTGATTTGTTAATTGTTTGTCACAATCTTGATGCTTCCCTGCATTTATATGTGCTGTTTTGAAACTTGAAACTGAGTTTTATTGGTTTTCAGATTTTCTCAACATGCAAAGCATTAGAAATTCCATCTTGTGGCATGTGAGGGTAGGGAGTTCAGCCGAAAAATGGTTGCTCACTGAAAGAGGAAATGTGCTGAAATCTCTGAGCCGCCACATGTGTGCTGCAACAGGTACTACCAGTACTGATCAGACAATGGACCGAGTGATTGGACTCGTGAAGAAATTTGATAAAATTGATGCATCTAAGGTAGTTATTTCATTCTTACTGCTCTAGTTTAACTAGTCTTCCTCTCATATGTGCGTTTAATACTTGAATGAATTGATGGACCAGCAATTGGCCATGTTCATTACAATACATTATGCTAAGTACTGCTTATTGTTAAACTTGGTACTGCAATTTAATTGCAGGCAACATTTACCTTGTCCTCATCCAATAACAAGAATGTTAGAAATTAACAGGCAACTTGACCTCTGAACAGGTTACTGAAACAGCTGATTTCCAGAAGGACTTAAGCCTGGATAGTTTGGACAGGGTGGAGCTTGTTATGGCCTTTGAGGAAGAATTCTCCATTGAAATCCCTGAAGAGAAAGCAGATAAGCTGACCTGCTGCGCTGATGTTGCAAGATACATAGTTTCTGGAGCTGAGCAGAAGAGTGTTTAAGTCCTGCGTAATTCCCGTAAGATGATTTCTGAAGACAAATTGTGTTTTAGAATTTTTCACTCATGTTATGAATTAATTAATTCGTCATTTTATAAAATATAAAATGTTGGTGACCTTGAGACTGATTGAGAGCACCTCTCATTTTGCAAAACTTACAGTCATGATATTCATCTCTTGAAGTTGGCGTATATAACAATATATGATTTCTTTTTTCAGTTTTTGCATACATTATATAACTGTCATCATACTTTCCTATAACTGTATATACTTTACATATGATAAGTAGAATGGGTTCGAACCCCTGCATCTCAATGCTGTGACTGAAGCGCCATCCAGATGAACTGTGGTGCTGGATCCCGGTCTACTATTTAATGAGTATCTATGATGATAACATCTTAATGCATGCTTCTGATGGTTTAGAGCTCAAATGCTGGAACCTTATATTTCCGGCATTGTAAGTCCGGATACCGTTACCAACTGACGATAATTTCAGTCCCTTGTGCCTCCTGACATAAGCTGGTCTGCATTGTGTGTTCTTTGGTATTCGAACTACTCTAACCGAACATGTTTTGTGCAAGTTGGGAATTGCATGTAGATTGGAAGGAAGATCAATAATGAAATCCCCAAATTCATCTGTGAAGCCTTGTGCCAAGCTTGATTTTCTTTTTCTCCCACTAACATGGCAATTGACAGAAACCAAAGCACCTGCAGATTTTGGAGAAAAAAGAAAAGAAAAGAAAAGAGAAGCAGATAATGATGATGGCGATGGTGAAGATCATTGTTACATTGACTGAACAATAATTTCGTAGTTAATTGGAAAATGCCATAATTAAATTCGCAAAATATATCCTTTTCACTTTATTTCAGCTAAATGGTTGTTTTCGATGGAGCTCTGTATCCACGAATTAAAGAATATCATATGCGAGTAAAATGATGTTTTTGCTTTTCATTAAAGTCTCAGATTAAGTTTATCTTTATTATTATTATTATTATGAAGTTGATCGTGAATTGCTTTCTGTAAGGTCCAAAGTTACTGTAAGGTAGAGATACAGACAGAGCACAGAGGTGTGCTTCCCGTTACTCTTATTTTATATTAATATCTAGCGGAAAGCTTTAATGAATTCATGAATTGTGCCTAAAGAAAAACAATATGTCCAAATCAAATTAGGAGACGTTAATTTTCACGGGTCCAACGTGCACATCAAAATTTGAGGTGATTGCTTTAAGGAGCAGCCATTTGCAAAGACAGAATATGGAGGAACCACTACTAGAATTCAACCTAAACCCAACCCACCCCACCGGAACTAATTCAAAAAACAAAAGTTGGTGTGATTATAGCATACTACGGTAGTGCGGTCATGTGGTACATCTTGTACACGTGTTATAATAATATATAATATTGAACGTAATTATTAATATTTAAGAAACTAAAATTGAAAAGAAATTTATACATTGTTCACACTTCGAGCTCGGATTCAGCTCATATCAATCTGAATTCAAGAAGGCAGAGAGATGAAAGTGGAGTACTAATGATATTGTTGGGTTACTCTAAATTGTTGTTATAGCTGATGGTATTGCACGCAGTAATGATATTTACTTGACAAAGCGCATAACATTTGCCACAAAAAGGAAGAGAGAGAAGATGATATATATATAAAGTTAGTAGCTAAATTAGATTTATATATTTCGATATTAATGATAATAATCTTAACTTAATTCAAGTAAGCACGCGAAACAAAAAGAAAGAAAAGCAAGCAAAGCAATCACCCAAGCTATGTTTAGGAAATTAGTCTTGTAAATATTGATCATATATATATAGATAGATAGATATGAATATGATGGTACGTATAATTATCAAGAGAATAATGAGCATTAATTAAATCCAAGTAGAGAGACACAAACAAACCTGAGAGAGGCCATGCATGAAGATGAAGTTGATGATCAGGATGATGATGATGAGTTTGAGCATGCAAATTATTACAAGCCTCCTCGCAATGGACGGAGCCTGTAATTAGGACGGTGGAAAGCTTCTCTTCTCCATATCCAGCAATTTGGACCATATCTTGTTGGCTGGACATGAGTTGGTTTAATGGGTTATTGTTGTTCACTAGTACTTGATCATCAATATCGGCGGCGGAGGCCATTGAAACTGATCTGCTGAGGCTGAGGCAGCTGCATATCAACAGGTTTAGCAGAACTAGTTTGTAGATGAAATCATTCACAAGCTTGTGCCAGCTCATCACCATCTTCTTTTTGTGTGTTTGTAGCTCTCCTTCCTTTGTAATAATTTGATCATCGACCGATCCCCATGTGGTTTGTATATATAGAAGATAGAAGAGACAGAAGCCCTCGCCCTCAATGGTCGCATTTAAATTTCGTACTGCCCTCGATCACAAGTTCATATTACGTCTCCTACGTACATAGCTACATCCAATTTGAGTTACCATTTGGCCCTCAAAAGCTCTACAGACATATAAGTTATAACCCTGTGGCCCGAAAGGTGTTGTTGGTCATTTTACAATGAAGATGAAACAGACGAAAAGAATGGAGGGTATATTGGTGTGAAGGATGTTATTTTAATATTGATCCAAAGGCAAAGACGAAATACAAAGGCAGAAGTTGGAGAGGTGGACGGGAAGTTAATTTGTTGGTTGGTAGCCTACTCTTATCTCGTACGTATTCTTTTGTTAATCAGATTTTGAAGGGCAAAATACACAAGTTCATATTACTACTTGGAAGATTAGTAAATTAATTAAGCAAGCAAAGCAAACACACGTCTCATCAGTCATCACAACTTGGAAGTTAAGACAAGCACTCTCTAGCTCTCTCTCTCTCCCTCCAATAATAATATTTGATTCCATCTTAAACACATGATGATCAACAACTCCAACAATAATACGGTTGATTAAATGAGAAAATTAAGGAATTAATTGTATGTTAACATGGCAATTTTTCTCTTTGGGTGGGTAAACCCCACTTACACTTACTTTGCAACAGCATGAGTCACATGACAGGTGGCACTTATGAAAGTGGCTAGCGTAGCACCATGCACCTTGTTAATTAATTTATATTCTATTTAATAGATAGATAGATAGAACTTCTATTTGGCCTAAACTTACATTGTTGGGAAACTTGCAGGTTATCGTTGAACAACCTTCCCAAAATCCAACTGATTTCATTCGCTAAAACAAAGTAACCTAAGAATGCAAAATAATCTTAATATACAAAGGTTGCGTAAATTGTAGAAATTCGGGGAGTCTAAGAAACATATACATACATGAAATGTACGAGTCTCATATATACATCAAATGATGGTCCTAAGACTTTGAAAACCCATAATTGTTAGATTTTTTTGGTTGAGAATACAGAAGATGGCATTTCAACAATTCTTGAAAAAGACCCCTCTATTTTGTATATTGCATCAAGTAATTAATGTTCTTTCTATTGGTGTTCATGAGTATTAGACAGCTGATTAATTTCTGTTTATTACGAATCGTTTTCGCAGGTCGAGAGTCATATATATAAATTGCAAATTTAGTGACATCCCGTCCCATTAATTTTTGTGTTGATGTTTTTATGCAGTGAGGAGCAAGCCATAGCCAGGACAGGAGAAACAATTTAATATGCAATATGGTTTGTGATGGCTAACCCAAAATTAACAATGGTGATTAGGACATAAAATTTGGGGGACGACTAGAAAAATATTATTGATTTCAAAGGTCAAGAGCCATAAATTATAAGTAAGACATGACATTGTGGGCCACTTTGGTTTACAATTTAATCATACCTTTAATTAATACTGTCTTCTTAAAGAAATAAATTATACGTTTAATTAATACTGATGGGATCCTGATTGATTAGTATAATATAAAGGGAGCAAGGAAGAAGCATCATCAGCATAAATAAATTATAAATGTTTTGAATTTCAGCTTTAAAAGAAAACTGCAACCTGCAGATGTCACTATGAAATTAATGGATGGATTGGGCACTTCACCTGCAGAGATCAACTTCTTTACAAGTTCTCACTTATATATGATGACAATTTAATTAATTAAATTTGTAAAACTGATCATGATTAATTATTTATAGGTATATATATATATGGACATTGGACACACACACACACCCACCCCAGAAAAGGAGAGGTGCTGAAGTGGACCCCATTGCATGATTCAAAAAGAGTCATCAATAAGGTAGCAGGCGGGTTTATACTAATACGTACTAACATCATCAAGATTCTAAGATGGATCATCAGAAGAAGAGAGGGTACCGTCCAAAGTGGGCAACAACAAATTTGAAGTGCGAGATAAATTTGATATTTTTATTGTTCTACACTCACTCACTGTGGATGGATCATGGAATCATGGAATCATGGATGGATGGTTGGTCCCATGCAATTATGAAACGAAGTTGAAATTAATACATGCTCGGATGCTCCTCTCCTCCTCCTCCCTCCTCCTCATCAATCGTAAGGCTGACGAAATGAGGTCAATGCCTGCCTACACAATTGGTGAAAAAGGGTAACCCACCATCCATATCGATTGTTTTGACTTCTATTACTTGTAAATATTAATATAAACTCGTCTCTCTAATGTGGCAGTGCGGTTGGATCGGGTTTAATTAGTACCCAAGAATCCAATTAAACAAGCCCCTGTGCCACAGCCACACACCCCTCGTGGTCGGCTTGTGCGTAAAAGTCATTGAAATTTTTAGTATCATTGTCGCATTTCTCTATATTTTATTATAACACGATTTATACATTACATGATTATGTGATCGTCACACTAACTCTTTCATAATCGAGCTTGAGCACAAAATGAGTGTCAAAATCTTATTGTGATAAATGAACGGTCCAAGACCATCCCACATATCAGAGACCGAGCAATATATATAATCCCTCAAGATCCCAGCTTAGCTAGGAGAAAAAGCAGTCCAACCCCTCCAAGAGGAGGGCAGAGCATTAGCAAAATTGAATTTAGCATATAAACCTTCCTTTGCTATAACTCTGTAGACATCTAGAATTCACATTCATTAAATCATTTTTAAATGAATCAGTTACTGTTTTCAATTGAAAAACCCTTCCCTATATCATATAGATATATATGGCTGACTCGGACAACGACTCGGGAGCAGCAGGAGGAGGAGGAGAAACGAATTACACAAGATCTTCATCATCCTCAGCGAGAGAGCACGACAGGTTTTACCGATTGCAAACATGATCGCAGGATCATGATTCATGAAGAAAGGTTTCCCAGGCAAGGCAACGCCAAGATTTCAAAAGACGCGCAACGCCAAGATTTCAAAAGACGCTAAAGAGACGGCGCAGGAGTGTGTCTCAGAGTTCATCAGCTTCATCACGGGACAGGCCTCAGATAAGTGCCGGAGAGAGAAGAGGAAGACAATCAACGGTGACGATCTATTGTGGGTCATGACGACGCTTGGGTTTAAGGACTACGTGGAGCCTCTCAAGATTTATTTGGACAAGTTCAGAGAGATGGAGGGTGAGAGGACTGCTGGAACAGGAATGGCTAGGCAGCTGCTGCACGCTGATCATCATCCTCATGAATATCATGATCAAAGGCAGAGAGAGCAGTTGCAGCACCTGCATGCACCTGGGATGAACATGTATGGTGGGATGATGATTGATGGGTCATCAACATCATCATCATCATCAAGGTCAAGGGCATCATCCTTATCTTTATGGATCTGGTAGTGGACCCTCTAGTCTATAAGGCATGGAGACCAAGGTAGGGTTTGACTGTTTGGATATCCATACTATATAGTATTAGCTAACTATGCGTTTCTTTTTCCCCGCTTCTATATGTGTACTGCGTGCGGATAAGGTTGGTCTATTGCTTCTTATTAATTTGCGTCTGAAATATAAATTTTAATGGATTATGAGGAGAGGCATAAAAGATGACTGCAATTTACGGTGCAAATACTTGATTGGGGTTAGGACTTGGGAAGGAGACTTTCCAGTATTTAGTGCAGCGGAGTCTAGTGGTTTATAAATGGATATTTGAAACTATTCAAACAACCGGCCTATTAGCTCAGCTGGTTAGAGCGTCGTGCTAATAACGCGAAGGTCGCAGGTTCGAGACCTGCATGGGCCATTGGTAATAGCTATTTTTAATGTTTTTAGTCCTCACCACAATACTGTCTTCCATACTTATCGTCGGTATATTCTCACAAACACAACAGAAAAACTTCACAAATAACTAGGATCAAGACAGAAGACAATGCAGATATTTCTTTATGGCGATTGGTTAATAAACCGCGGTTCTCTTCAAATGTTGGTTGTTACAATGCAAAGAAGTTCTGATTGTATTATGATCAGTATATCTTTCTTTTTTTTGGTCTGATCTGAATGATCAGTATCTCTTAGAAAGATGAAAGACAAATAGTTTAATAATTTGTTGGATTACAACAAAAAAAACCTCCCTTGCTTGCTAGAGTAAAATTTCAAGGGCTGATGATCAACCTCTGCTGTCTCTCTTGGTTGCTTTACCATTCAAGTACAAGTAGCTCATCTTCTGATCAGAAAAACTCCTTGTAGGTACTGGAGAAAATCCAGAATACTGCCCATCTATCTTCGCTTTGCATATGTCGTTGATGTAGTTTAGAAGCTCGTTATTCTGGACGAATGGTTGGGCTGCATATTCCTCAAATGCCATCCACTGCAAGCCATTGCAAACAAGCGTGTCAATATAGAATAAACTTCAAGAGCTTTACACGGGAAAACAGGAAAGAAAATGATCATAAGGACTTGAAGATCTATACACATTTTGGATTATTAACTAAATGAGTTTCTGGCAATTCCTCCTATTCGCATTACCATCCCTTAACCAAAAATTACCTGGGCTGCTTCTATCTCTTGATCCTGCTTTTGGATGTCAAAGGAGAGGGGTTGCATCATGCACACAAAAAATAAATCTGACTTCTCAAAAAATGACTTGTGGCTTTGTCTGCAAATTATAAGAATAAGGTATGAAGAATATACTTTTTTCCGAACAGCTAAAATAACCAAAAAGTAAACATCAGAAATGAGCAATATGAGAACCATAGAATAAACTTGGGAGAAAAGGAACAAGAATTCAAGTTTCTAACTTAATGCAGTCAAGAACATTCAGAAGTCTTTAAACCCAACAACATTCAAGGATGCATGGTCCCAGGGCCTAATGTATAAAATGTGTTAAAACTTGGTTGTCATGTATTAGTTTCATGATTATACAATTGAAGTCCTATATGATTGCAAATCATTCTATAGAACTGTCATATTTTAGTTCATGAATTTGCAAGTGCCTCAACTCAATTTACAGTCTTGATCCCGAGGTTAAGTTTATACTAAAATAGTTTATCTTAAGCAAACATCATATATACCTGAATGCTAGAATTTCTACAAACTCCGAGTCAATCTGAAACCACAGAAAATCCAGAAACATGAAGAAAGAATCCTCATTTAAATTGATGAAGTGTAACTGCATTGCATAGTATCTACTTACTCCTGTTTCTTCTTTGACTTCTCTCACAGCGGCTGCACAAATATCTTCTCCCTAGAGAAGATAAAGTTTAATACATTGGTTAGTAGACACTATGAAAAACAAAACCAATACCTCCTGGAATGCACACACACCTCATCTACAACTCCAGTAGGAAACTTCCATACACCTGTCCCCCGTAACAGTCCACTCTTTTCTTGGACTACTAGCACCTGCCATTGAATGTTTACAAACCCAAAAGCTTCAGCCATTATAGCAGAGTCATGGAAAACAACAAATGTAGTGAAAAGTCCAAAGCATTGCAGGTGCATATGGAACCCTTCTGAAACTGATCATCTCAGAAACAAAATAAAATGGATGTCAAATAGCTTGAGAATCAACAAGGCAATATTAGGACTATGCAAGTAGAGAAAATGCCTTCTTTAAGCCCCTGCCAAATGCAATATTAAAGACTAGCTCACACCTACTGACTCAGCTGAACTATAGTAAATCTGAAACAATTACATCCGTACAATCCAAAAATGTTGTTTTTGAAACGAGTTTCTGAAATATATATGAAGAAAAACACTTGAAATTGAGATGAGGAGGATAAAACGATGAAATGATAAATGGTGGCCCGGGAAGCAGAGCAGACAGCAGAGTTAAGTTATCCATATACCTCTCTGTTAGGGTTGATGACAAATGCGCCAATTCCTACTCGGTGGGTGGCATTAGCAGGAAGGGTATGAGGGGTCTGAGGAATCCAATAAACCAGCATCAAATAATCAGGCTCCGCATGGTGGTACCAGAATCCTTCCTGCATTTGCAATCCGTTCCTGCCCAACATCCATTAACTACTTGTTGTATGATAATTTTTTTTAAATAATTAACCATTAATCATAGAATTTAATTGACCTTCACTGCTGCTTCGACAAGATTGACTCGATCTACAGGCAACTTGATCCAAACACCCTTCTTGCCCTGCACGGTTGCACCCACACCCACACCCACAATATAAAAGCATAAATCAACAAACGTATCTACCTACTGGGAAAGAAATTTGAGATTGAAGTTGATTAGAATTCTTCATAATCATCCTATTGATATTTACATGGCATTACCTGTAGCTTCCAATGCGCAATTGAAGAGGTAATAAGAGAAAGGAAGGTAGCAGGGTCCATAGGCTCATTGATGTGGACGATCACGCCGCCGTACGGGTCATTGGTACCGATCAGTCGCTTTGCCTCACTTTCGGTACTGACACTTGTTTCACTTTCGCCGGCCATCTAAGGTGTTGGTTCGATGTCAATGATGATGATGAAGAAGATGAACACACGCCACCCGTGGTCACTGAATGATCAGTAATTATATTTAATGACTAATCACCTTCTTATTTAGTATTAATGTCTACATTAAATAATTTTTTTTAAACATATGCATTTTATAGACGCATGGGCGGACGGGCAGTCTCTATGGGCCTTTCGTTGCGGGCCTGTTTTGCTTCCAGAGCTTTGCCTTTTGACTTTGAGGATGTGACTTAGCATTACAGAAAGAAAAATAAAAAATCTTCCATCCGGTGAGTAATTTTATTAATACAAACTTTTCCTGAAGAGATTATTGAACAGCTACACGTATTTTAAACAGAGCCCAACATCGACAATGCAATTTCTTTTTTTTGTCATTTAACTATGACTCTCTTTAAATATTCTCACTGGAGCTGAGATTTATGGATATATTTTACAAAGATGAAACACACTAGGTGATCATCAGAGTTTACTCTCTCTCCTGGGTGCCTTGCTTGTATTCAAGTACAAGTAGCTCTTCTGAACAGAATAACTTGTAGAGGGCACTGGAGAAAATCCAGTATACTTCCCATCCACCTTTGCTTTGCATATGTCATGGATGTACTTTAGAAGCTCGTATTTCTGGACAAATGGTTGAGCTGCATATTCCTCAAATGGCATCCACTGCAAGCCAAGCCATTACAATTTACAAACAAGTTTAGTATCATACGGAGGGATGATTTTCTCTTATTCTCATCCAACATTTATGCAGCACTCATTCTAGATTGTTAACTCAGTGAGTTTTTGAAAAATCCTCTAAAGTGAAAGGGGGATAAAAGCAAAGTTTGTTTGTATTATCCTCCTTCAACCAAAAATTACCTTGGCTGCTTCTATCTCTTGTTCCTGCTTCTGGATGTCAAAGGAGAGGGGTCGTAACATGCACACAACAAATAAATCTGACTTCTCAAAGAACGACTTGTGACTTTGTCTGCAAATTATATGAACATTAACAAGCATAAATTTCCATAAAAGGGAAGGAAAAAAGAACCAAGAAGTAAACATGAGAAATAGTTAATGAGAATCATACCATAAGATTTAACTCTCATACCTGAATGCTAGAACTTCCACAAACTCTGAGTCAATCTGAAACAACAGGAAAACCAGAAGCATGAATGAAAATCGCATTGATAAGCTAACATTTACACTAACTCAAATTAATGAACGTGTAATTGCATGGTAAGTTGGTAACTACTTACTCCTGTTTCTTCTTAGACTTCTCTAACAGCAGCTGCAAAGATATCTTCTCCCTGGAGGCGATAAAGTTCAATATATGGTTTAGACTAGACTACACTCTGAAGCTCTGAGAGAATAAAAACCAAAGCTTGTAGGAAATGCACACACACCTCATCAACAACTCCAGTAGGGAGCTTCCACACACCCGTCCCTCGATACTGTCCACCCTTTTCTTGGACTACCAGCACCTAGCATTGAAATTTCACAAAGCCAATACAGCAACATCATGGAAAACAATGAATGGTCTCAAGCATTGTAACAACGGTCAACTGAACATTAAAGTAAACGGATCACACATAACTTTTTAGACATTATAAGCCAATCGTAGGAGTATGTAAGTCCAGATAATCAGAATAAAACTTTTTAGACTTTTACCCTGTCTGCCATACATACACCCGCTTACTCAGCTGAACTGTTCTAGGGAGGGATGGAACATAAACACACGCACACACACACACACACACATGAAGAGTGCAAGAAGTGAAAACTGTAAATTGATAGTTAATGTGAAGCAGCAAAGGCTTATTGCTAAATGTAGAGGCTAATTAGACAAGAATGCCTTTGGTTCAGTAAAGATTTTCACAATATATAAAATGATAAATGGTGGGAGAGGTATTACCCTATCCTAGAATAAAGTACACCTCTCTGTTATGATTGATGAGAAATGCACCAATACCCACTCGGTGCGTGGCATTTGCAGGAAGAGTTGAGAGGATTGAGGAATCCAATACACGAGCATCAAATAATTAGGCTCTGCATGGTGGTACCAGAATCCTTTCCGCAATTGCAATTCACTCCTGCCCAACATATAGTAAGTTGTGTATATATATATATATATATATCCTAGGATAGGATAGGAGAATCCTTTCTTTCTACTAGAACAAGAAGAATAATAATAACAAAAGCATAAATACTTGAAGAGATTAGAAGGAGCTTGACCTTGACTGCAGCTCCTACAAAATTGACTCGCTCTATAGGCAAATTGATCCAAACACTCTTCTTTCCCTGCACTAACATCAAATTATACACCAACAAAAAAACAAACAAACAAGGAATATGAGATGATAGATTTGATATATCATTTTACTAAACCTACTGCTCTGCTAGTATCATTTTAATTAAATTACCTGCAGCTTCCAATGCGCAATTGAGGAGGTAAGAGAGGATAAAAAGGTAGCAGGGTCCATGAGCTCATCTCCATTGATGTCTACGATCATACCTCCATACTGGTCATTTCTCGCACTCAGTAGCTTTACCTCCCTTCCCCTACTCTCAGCTTTGGCAGCCATTGATGATCGATTCGCAGGGATGACCGATCTTACTATGACTAATGAGGAGGAAAATAAACGGCCATTATTGATAAATTTCCACACAATAATTTTTTTATTTATTTTTTTAAAGAAAGCATTTCTATTGACACGTGGGCTGCGGGCGTTGGGCTGTGAATTGTCGACGGGCAGGCGCGCACGTAGTGGGCACGTGAGCTGCTCTGACAAAATGAGTACCTCCGTAAATTCAAATTTTAAAAGCGTTTTACCTTTATTTTACTTTCCATTTACCAAAACTCGTTTCATTTTCACCCACTCTCAACCCAAACCCCTCAAACGCCGCTGTTACCTTCCCCAACCTTACCTTTTTTTCTTTTTCTTTTTTTAAATTTTTAAATAAATATATAGAAGCAATTTTAATCTTTTTTACCGTTGTCGTCCACCGGAGACTTGGGGGTTATGGAGGCGTTGACCGCCGACAGGCAGATACCAAACCCAGCCGCCTTTCCAGAGCAGATAGCCCCATTCCCTGAGAGCACAGACCACCACCTTCTCTTCGCCAATCCAACGGCTGTGGTTCACTCGCCGCCCCAGAAGCTCCGTCCTATCAGGTGCAGCAGCGGCAGGTGTCCTGCAATCGAGCTCCCGGACAGCGCAGGAAACCTAGGTGATGGGGGTCCAGCACATGTCGGGTCGGGTACGTGGGGAGACGAGGGGGAGGACGAGTCCAGGTGAGTCTTTGTTATCTTATCTTTAACCCAAGATTGTTTATTTTTTGTTTATTTTTTTCATAATTTTATCAACAATAGCGGATGGATTATTGGATTAATTAGGGCGCTCATTTTGCTTACTTTTTATAATATTCTACTGTATTACTGTTTTGTATACGACATGTCGCAAGAACATGACACCATTTTTTATATATTTTCTTTTTCTTTTTGAGAAAGGACCATTGATTGATTATATTAGTATCGATATCACATTGGTAATTTATCGTATTTTTGTCTGATAAAAATGCATATGATGGTTTCTGAGATACATTGGTTATATATTTGTACAATTGGTACTTATGCTGTTAGATTGTCGAGTCTTTGAGCCTTTGAGTTTGAGGTGGTTTTTGTGGCATGGCTCTTGGCCCTTTGAGGTTGATGATTATTCTTTTTTCCTTTTTCATAATCATAAGTTGGTACCATAACGTTTAAGTGGGTGTTGTATTGAACATTTCTGCCAAGTACCATACCGTTTTAATTTTTAACACAGTGTTGTCTATTTTGTAATCAGTTCGTCACCAGATGATGATGGTGATGAGTATTTAAAAGCAGAAGGTACAGAACGCATGAAGCGGAAGAGAAAGAGAAGATCAAGGACGGGAGGAAGGCTTGAAAGGGTTGAGATTTTTCTGGAAAGTCTGGTAATGAAAGTGATGGAGAAGCAAGAGCAGATGCATAAGCAGTTGATAGAAATGATAGAAAAGAGGGAGAAAGAGAGAATAGCAAGAGAAGAAGACTGGAAGCAGCAGGAGTTAGACAGAATGAAAAGGGATGAGGAGATAAGAGCCCAAGAGACATCTCGTAGCCTTACACTCATTTCCTTTATCCAGAATTTTTTGGGCCATGAAATTCAAGTCCCCAAACCAGCACCAGCACCAATATCAGTAGTACCTAATTATGATCATCGATGCATGGACGAAAATGGGGGTGCAGACAATGGCATTCAGAGAGACACGATGGTGATGCTCAAGTGTGATCAAACTAATAGAAGATGGCCAGAAGCTGAAGTGCAATCCCTGATAACGCTGCGGGCTGCTTTGGAACACAAGTTTCGCATTGCGGGTAATTCCAAAGGACCCGTATGGGAGGAGATATCTCTTGGTATGTATGATATGGGCTACAACCGCTCAGCAAGGAAGTGTAAAGAGAAATGGGAAAACATCAACAAGTATTTCAAGAGGTCCATGGGAACCGACAAGAAGCGTTCTGCAAATGCTAAGACTTGCCCATATTTTCACGAATTAGAGTTGCTCCATAAAAGTGGACTTGTAAGTTCAGAGGATGGCTTTAAATTCACAAGCAACCAGAACGAGAGTAAGATTGAAAAACAGGACAACAGAGAAAAGGGAGTAACAGAGTGATATCAGAGATTCAAGTGAAGCTTCTGAGAGAGAGAGAGAGAGAGAGAGAGAGAGAGAGAGATAGATAGCTAAATGATTATTATTTGAGCAGAAGAGGAGATTGGCATCTTGTTTGAAGCTTTGGTTGTATCTTGTTTGAACTTTATATATCCACGACAGTTAACAAGTGCATTAGCATGGTTTGTTATGCTATTAGAAATGCTTTGTTGGAAATTGATAATGGAATTGCAAAAATACAAAATGAGGCAAATTGAGTTATATGCTTGTTTCTGTTTGTATATAGTGCTTGCTCGCGGCATTAGCGGCAAAGGATTAATTCAACTAATCAAACAACTCATGGTTATTAGTTTTTTTTATACTTAATTTTGAGGTTAATTTGGTATATATGAAATGAATAATCCAACGGCAATGGAATCCATTATCTAACCAAGGGAATCTCTGGTGTGACAGTTACATATACGACCAGACCAGACAACCCTGTCCATGTGTGATATCTAAGATATAATAGAGACGACACAATTGAAAGAGAAAGAAAACGAAAACGAAAACGAAAAAGAAAGCATTAATTCCTTCCTCCATTATTGAATTTGAAACGGCAAAAAAATCATAATAGATTGCTGCTTATTGCATGATATTGGATATTAATATAGTACTCAGAGGAGGAAGAAGAAGAAGAACATTGACATCACTTGGTTGCATGATTGAGGAATGCCCAGATTGCTCCTAGAACAACAGGGAAGACCAGGAGCACAGGAAAGGAGGGCGGATGAACAGGACCCATCGCCAAAGGCAGAAAGAAGATGATGGCAACCACCACCAAAAACAGCAAAACTGTAGCAGTGCCTTGATCCATCTTCTTCAAATGTGTTATGTGTTGAAAACAACAAAGCACACCCTCGCACAAACACCGAACTTGTTTTTAAATAATATCAAACAACGGAAATGGTGATGGTGGTGTATGGGGTATCGTATGGTATATATATAATGTTCATGGTGTCTCTCTGGGTAGAGGTACAACCGTTGGGAAAGGATCCATGCATGCATGCATGCATGCAATTTGCAAATGCAATGCAGCAGAGAGAATCGGTGCCTGCGATGGGGTGCATCGTATAACTTAACTTAATCAGGCTCTCAAGTCTGATGGTTGACGAGACGACGCCTTCTTTTCTTTTGCGAAATTAAAATCGCATGCATACATGAATCATGATACATGCATGTCCCGTCTTATTGGGCTGATGGGTCAAAATTAAATAAGCCCATTACCATTTTAAATTTAGGTCAAACTTTGAAAGGCCCACTTTGTGAAAGCATTGACCTATAACTGCCGGTAACTTTGTGCTGTCCAACCGTGAAGAGGGAAGACCCATTTATTTATTACCCTTTAATGCTTTGATTTAATCCTTCAACTCGCTGTTGCCACGTGGTTGTTACTTTTGAGCACTATAAATTTGGACCCTTGCCAAGTAGCAGCGTCTTCTTCTAATTCACTTGAGTTTCAAATCAAAATATCTGTTGGTGAGAGAGAGAGGGAGAGAGGGAGAGAGGGAGAGAGGGAGAGAGGCAGAGGCAGAGATCTCAGGGAAATGGAACGAGGAGAAGGAGGAGGAGGAGGTTTCCATGGCTACCAAAAGACTAGCTCTGGTAACTGCTAAACCACACTGATCTCTATATTAATTCTTTCTTATTTAAACTAATGGTCATCCATTCCCAATTGGGTTGCGCATTTCCTACATTAATTCTTCTTATTAATTTTGGGGTTGCTTTCTTGCATTGCATGCAAGAAACATAAACTTTCTTATGTTATATGTATCATTATTGTTATTCCTTGCAAGTTGCATGCATGTAGTCTGTTGATTAGATTCATATCTATGATCGTTTAAATAAAGCTGTCTTTTATAACTCTCACATCACAAGGTGTTAATTTTAGTTCGATCTTGAGTCTTCATTCGCTTGATGCATTTGTTTCTCATTCAATATTAACCATCTCTTTGGTCGAGGAGGGGAAAACAAAAATACAGGCCTGTCCAAGCCTCTGCCCTTCTACCAAAGCACTCTTTGTGGGAGAGGTCTTAGTACTTTGCACAATATATATGTATATCTAGACCAAACTCTTTTGCTGATCGATGCTGCATTTTTAAGCCTTATCATTTCATTTCTTTTAAACAACATGCAGACATTCCCTCTCTAGATCTGTCTAGATCGCTCAATATTATCTATTTCTGCTTCTGCACAGTGCACACACACGCATATGATGATATCCTTGGCATTGTTGTAATATTAATTCTTTCATTGTTGATTGAGGGGCTGGCCAGGAAGATGCGTGAAACTTAGATGGAGGGAGGGTATATAGCTAGCGTGTAGGAGATAGAGATATGTAGCTTAGCTAAGTAGTTAATACGCAAGCAGTGCAAGAGAAAATGGCCGATGATGATGAAACTGATAGAACTCTGTTTACAAGTGGCAAACATCTTTCATGCAATCTTTGACCCCACATGACACAAGTGGCCTCCATGCAATGCATTCTCACACATCCCGGGCCCACTCTTTTCCATCTGTCCGCTTTCATCTTGCTCTTCTTAACTGCATGTATATTGCAGCCGTTTCTTTGAGCTAGCTAGCCTTTTTTTATGGACTATATATATATACATATGTGCAGGCTTTGTCTCTACAAGTTGTGTACCAGCCAGCTAGCCCATTGGTCCATCATCAAGAAACCCAGTCCTCCTTCCCAGCTTGTTTCAAGTCCCAAAATGCAAAAAGAATTAAGAAAAAGAAAAACCTTTCTAAATGTTCCGTCCGATGAGTTGAGTTAAATTGATGCACGAAAGACAAAACCAAAACCATAGATTTCTTATTAATTAATTGGCATATTCTTTAGGCTAAAGCAAAATTCCAAAGGCCCTTTGGTTTACCTTCCAAAGTCCTTAGTCTTCCACAAAACAACATCAGATTGGACCCCCCACAACTGAAGCCCTTGCTCAAATTTTATGTACCTTATTAGTAAATTCAAATGCATGATATGATATGTATATGTATATATATATATATATATATATATGTTTGGATTAGATATATAGATTACATGTGAGTGGGTGGGTGCAGGGTTGAAACTATCAGAGATCAACATGAGGCTGGCAGAGATTAATCAATTCAGCGTGCAACAGGGGGGGAAGAGTACTAGCTCCTCTACCACCAATATCAATATCAACAATGTTGTTAGCAACAACAACAACAACAACGTCCACTCCACCAGTAGTAATGGTACTACTACTACTGATGATAACGAATGCGTGGTGAGAGAGCAAGACCGCTTCATGCCAATAGCCAATGTGATCAGAATCATGCGCAAGATCCTTCCCCCGCATGCCAAGATCTCAGACGATGCCAAGGAAACCATCCAGGAGTGTGTCTCCGAGTACATCAGCTTCATCACTGGGGAGGCAAACGAGCGTTGCCAGCGAGAGCAGCGCAAGACCATCACTGCTGAAGACGTCCTCTGGGCCATGAGCAAGCTCGGCTTTGACGACTACATTGAGCCCCTCACCCTCTATCTCCACCGCTACCGTGAGATGGAGGGGGAGCGTGGCTCTGGCTCCTCCACCACCTCCATCATGAGAAGCGATACCTCAGTGAAGGGTGCTGCTAGCAGCAGTAGCAGGGCAATAGATCATCACCAGTACTATGCTGCTGCTGCTGCTGCTGCGGCGGCTGCTTTTCATCATCACCATGGCCATGCCTTTTTTGGATATTTGAAGCCATCCGATGCCTCCACCTCCACCAATAATAATGCCGCTCTGCCAAATGGTGATCACCACCAGCCACATGCAAATGATCGAGCTTAAGTGAAATGTAATACTTCCTAGCTACCTAGGTCTAGGTCGTTCCATCGAGTAGTACTGGTTTTATTTGAGTCGCTAAGTAGTAGTGCAGTAAAATTATAACCAAAAAAAGTACTGTGTGCATGCGTAGTAAAATTAAGGGCGCAGTTTTCCTTGCGTTGGGGATGCTTTTGCTTAATCGACGTCGACGCTTTCATATCACATTCGTCGCCAACTTCCACGGCTCATTTTCCCTTTGGAAAGCAAAGGAAAAAAACAGAACAAAAAAAAATTATGCGAAAAACTTAATTCTAGCTCCCAGCGAGGATCGAACTCGCGACCTTTCGCTTACGAAGCGAACGCACTACCACTATGCTATGGAAGCCAGTTGGCAGATTTTGAAAACAATTTAGCTTTATACGCGTGTGTTTGTTTGAGTTCTTTTACCTAAAAGGGTATATGTGGATTTTGGGTCTTCAACTAAATTTAATAATTAAAAGTAAAAAGAGCTCCACATTTAGCATAAATTCACAGAGGCCGTGGATCTATATATATAGCAAAAATCACAAATTGTTGAAACATTCAAAATACCATAAAATCTCATTGGTTAATGAGGATAATACTTGTATATTTTTGTATTAAAAAAATTAAAAATTAAAAATTAAAAAAAATTATATAATGAGTCATATTTTTATAGAATACAACTACCCATTTTATCTTTTTAATTCAGCTTTCTTAATTAAAAATTAAATCAATTAGCATACACATGACTAAGAGGCTAGTTAGCACTAAGCTATTGTGGATGGCTAGTTAGCACTAAGCTATTGTGGGTGTGCTTCTATTGTGGATGGCTGATAAGCACACCCACAATAGCTTAGGTGATATTTGTGCTAAATTTCCAAATTCAAATATTACCGCCAGGTGCCCTTATATATATATTTTTAGCATAAGTGATAGTCTAAACTATAATAGAGAGGGATTTCTCACACATGCACACAACTAAGATACCACGGGGGTTCAAATTTGAGACCTCTAGTATACAAATCAAGGCCATTTCCATTGAGATAGACCTCATTAACCAGCCAGTTGCCCATATTAAAAAATTAAACAAATCAAATAAAGCGTTAATTACATTTTGTATGATAAATTTGATCTCGTTAAAATTGTTAAAAACTAAAGAAAGTGTTAATACATTTTTCTAACGAAAAGGTATGCTATTTTGATGCAAACGATATTGGGAAGGGAGAGGACATCAAATACATTGGTAAATGCTCTAAATATTTGCGCTACAAGTCCCTTGTAACTTAGAAATATAATTAAAAAAACAAAAAGGAAGACGTACTTATTACTAGAAAGGCAAACTCGAAGTTCATTCATGTTCATAGCCTGGTATTAAATGAATGGGTTCTTACATGGTTTTATTGCCTATCCTATTTTTCTGACGGCAGATTCCAAGTCCATGCTGAGATGCCTCTTGGAAAATTTGTTGATTTTATTCGGTTACAGATCGAGCTTATCATAAGGAAGCATATATTTGTGTTTTTCAAGAACACTGAACCCCTCACTGGTGAGTTGCAATTTATTTTTTTAGGCATAATATGTTGTTCACAAAGTTGTTGTAATAATTCTTCCAATGTTAACTTACAGGTGCCTTGATGGGTGCAATTGATGAGGAAAATAAGGATGAAGATGGATTTCTTCACATAACCTACAGTGGAGAAGAGAAACTCTGTGGATCCAATGAAAAAGTGCAAACTCTGGGAGCTCTGAGACTCTTCTTATCGGAAATAGTATTTAGAAAAAATAGGCTTTGACCTGCATAGTCGTCCTTACAGTAGCTTTATCACCTGTGACATTATAAGAATTATTACAACCAAACCTTGGGAACAAGATCGCATGCCTAAAATAAAAATGAGTTCCAACACACATGCGGGAGGTTTAGTGTTCTTGAAAAAGACGATTAATGTAGGCTTTTTTCTGCTGAGCCCAATCTGTAACTGTGTTAAATCAACAAATTCCCCAAGAGGCATTTTCCCTTCACTTTATCTTTCACTTTCTTCCCCTTTTACTTTTTGAGGTTCCTCTGAATAGCTTGGCATCTTTTTCTTTGGGGAATAACTTGGAAGAAAGAATCCTTCCAATTCCTTGTTTCCAAAAACTTGAGTAGTAGCACCTGCGCCCAACCCAACAAAACCAAAACAACAACAATGGTAACTCAACCTCCGTCAAACAGTGTTACAAATTAAGAATTGAGAATTAAAAGAGAGATTATTGATACCTGGGAAGAGGGACATGTTCAAGTAGTTGGCTATGAGAAGTTTTGCCTTTTGGATGCCCTGCCCCTCTGCTTTCTTCATGGGGATCCCTTTCCACCGATTCCGATCCACCATTCGTCCAACAATGCATATCTTGCTAAAATCTAATTGAGTAGCAACTCACCAGTCGGGGTTTTAGTGTTCTTGAAAAAGACAAATATAGGCTTCTTTATGCTGAGCCCGCTCTGTAACTGAATAAAATCAACAAATTCTCCAAGAGGCGTATTAGCAGGGACATGGTATCTGCAATCAGAAAAGCAGGATGGGCAATAAAACCATGTGAGAACCCTTTCATTTAATAAGACAAGCTATTAATACAAATGAACTTGGAGTTTTCCTTTGCAGTAATAAGTACGTTCTCCTTTCTGTATGCAAGTCTTATTACTGATATGGACTATAAAAATTACTCGGTGGGAATCTTTCGCTACTTAGGTAATCAATTCATGCAAACCATGATAATCAGGACCGCTCCTAGAACTCCAACTAATATACTCAAACGTTTTTCCCTCCACTAACTTTTTGGTAAAAGTGCTAACTCTAAGTGAACCATACACATGATCAGATCCTATCTATGTGTGTATAGTTTGCATTTACACTTAAAAATGGACAACTTACAAAATAACAACATAACAAGTATTGGGTTCTCTAAATATATCTTCTTTCTTTTTCTTTCCTTTTTCTGACGGATTTCAGAACATGTATCAGAAGCATTAATGAAAAGGAAACAATCCTATTCCATTATAGCAATACAAATCAAGATAATTAAAGTAAAAGGGAATTGGAAACTAACGTCTTCTTCGTGTCCAAGTCAGGAATGTCAAACCTTGCATACTTCTCCACAATCACATGCATGAAAGCTCAAATTAGAACAGGTATATCCCACTGAATGCATAGGAAGTAAACATGATTGATGGGGTGAAATTGTTACTGGTTCATAATTTGGATGCTTCTCCCTCAATTGCCCAGCTTCCAAACAAGCCTTTGTATTTATCCATCGGATTCCTGAACACATACCAAAAGCATAAATGAAAGAATAACAATCCTATTACTTTTGTAACAATAAAAATCAAGATAATTAAAACACAAGGGTATTCGCAACAAACCCTTCTCCTCACTGAAGTGCTTGAAATAACCTTTAATCTACATAGACCGTCTTATCACAAATAAAAATAATAATAACTACACACTGTTCACGGTTTTGCATGAAAGAATTAAAATTCATCCTTTACCAAATAAGGTTCATATTTTAGAACCCCAAAATTTGATTCCCTCAAGCAAAACAAGTTGGATACAAAAATTCAAACACACCAGTACACCATGATGAATATTGATATATCAAATTTAGACAACTTTTCCAATCATTCAAACATGCACAGTCACAATGCTCTAATTAATCATGGGAAGGGGCTTGACTTGTTGAGTCTTGAGCACACTGTTTTTTGCTTTCAAATTGATCATTTTTCTCTTCACTGTCAATTCCATTTTCTCCCCCTTTCACTTGTTGAGATTGCTCTGAATCCGCTTGGCATCTTTTTCTTTGAGGAATCACTTGGAAGAAAGAGTCCTTCCAATTCTTCGTTTCCAAAAACTTGAGCAGAATCTCTATCACTTGATTCACAGTCAGCACCTGCCCCCAAAACCCAACAAAACCAAAACCAAAAAAACAATGTCAACTCAAACTCAATCAAGCAATTGCTATTTCCGCCTATTTATTTAACAATTATAATTGAAAATTGAAATATGTATGACCTGGGAAGAGGACATGTTCAAGTAGTTGGCTATGGGAAGCTTTGCCGTTTGAATGCCCTGCTCCTCTGCTTTCTTCATGGTGATCCCTTTCCACCGATTCCGATCCACCAGGCCCCCAACAATGTATATCTTGTTTGAATCAAGATCATCAACCACATTTTCTGAATCAGCTGTCAGATATACCAGATTTTGCTTTTCATCTTCCAAAGCTTCCATGTACGATCGATCTTCCTTCTCTATAATCCAATTATCAAACCCCGGGAGCCTCTTCAGTTGCGTACCCATCTCTCCCTTGCACCCCGTCAACCATAGATGACCCGGCTCCCTGCATCTTTTATTCACCGCGTAACAATACATAATCTGCATTCACAATTTCAATTAAACATAATTTAGAGACGAACTCTGCCGTAATTAAGAAATAATTAATTAAGAATGAAAGCAAAACAAAGCAACGCCAACCTGTTGAACGAGGCTGTTGATCTCGGCTGGGGTCATGAGGTGAGAGAATTCGAGGTCGATCACAATCTTCTGTCCGCACTCTTTCGCTCTGCTCAGTCTCTCTGTGTTTCTCTCTCGCTCCTCTGACCTCTGCTCCATCCTCTCCTTCCTTAAACTCTTCCTCGACTCTATCAGCTTCCCCCTCTCTTCTTCGCTCACGCTCGCCAATCTCTCCTCCCATTCCTTCCGCTTTCGCTCCCCCTCTCTCTTCTTCTGCTCTTTTTCCAGAGCTTTCTTCTCTGCCTTCTTCGCTTCCCATTTCTGCTGCTTTAACAGCTTCTTTTGTGCGCTCTTCGACAGTCCACCGCAGTAATTCCTACCTTCTTCCGCTTCGGGCCCTTTTTCCTCATTATCTCTGCCCTCCATTGTTCGATTGCTCAATGCTATCCTCCACAACTACAATCGAGAGATGGAAGCTTCTTCCTTAGCGCTTTGGATGTTTTTGCTAGGGTTTAAGTTGTTTTTTCACTAACGATTACGATAGCTGCGAATAACGGAACGACGTCGTCGGCTGTTCGGAAAGATTGAGGACAGACACAAACCTTGGTCGGTCTTATCCGGGTCGAATAAAGAATCGGTCCTTTTAGCCCTTCGGGCCTTGCCCCTTTGGATAATTCATGAATGGATTATCCAAGCCAGCCTCTTTTTTCAATTTTGTCGAAACAAGCCCCATGTTTTTTTTCCCGTCAAATAACCAAGTCCCATATTCAAATTGCGAAAAAAAAAAAAAACTAAAACAGCAAATGACTCGATGATCCTCCATCTCAGTTTGATAAAGATTTCCAACATGACCTATAAATTAGCTGATTTGGGTTTTAAATGTGTGACACAATTCGGTTTAGGGTATTGTCGTTAACCAAAATAAGCATATCAATATTGATTTTTTCAATTTGCAATCACATAAATAGATTGATTTGTCTTACCCAAATGTCTGATTTTCGATTGGTTGATTTTGATTCCTCATTAAACTTCTAATTCAATTTGTTGTGCTCATGCCCAAACTACATTATGTGCAATAGTGTCACATCAAATATATGCAAAAAGCTCATGAACCCCCAAATGCCTTCAAGTAGACATGTAAAATGTTTTTTTAGGTCTATTGACATGTAAAATAAAAGGATTGATCCATGATATGTGACAGAATTTGGTGAACACAAAGCAAGGGTATGGGAGTAACTTCGATAATTTTAGTTATTTATTTTTGTTTTTGAAAGTGGGTAAGTTTGGCAATTAATGATCATATGCAGGTATTTCATGTGCGAGTTATCCACGTTTGGATGAGCTGAGATTGAGGTATCAAAGTCTTTCACAACGATGCATGTTTACGACGTTACCACTATTTTCCCCATTTGTTCTTACATTTGGTATTTTATAATTGCACCCATAACAGAAAGACTTTTCTCTTCGTGACACAAACACAACGGCATAATTTGTAATGAAGAATCTTTTATATTAATTTATGCAAACACTTCCCTTTGTATTTTTTTTATTTAGTTTGTGTCACGTAATTCAATTCATACATTGTTGGCACTAAAACTGAATAGATAGAGATAAGTGCAACTTACAAGTGATGTGTACGATCTAGCAGATCGATTGAGGGTTAGATGCAGATCCTTCCTGTCCTCAGACGCTGATCCTGAATAGAAGGAAGTCGAGACTCATAAGGTCTATGGAACCGGTGTAGAACCAGCCTAAGACCCTCCGATGCCAAAGTAAGTTTGTTTTCTGAGAGCTTTTGCTGTTGGCAATATATTAGTATAAGAGTCAAGCTGAAAAGTCTTACCCCTGTATTGTAGTGAAGGGGCCTATTTATAGAGGGCATTTTGTATGCTCTTAGTACTTAATATATTAGTATAAGAGTCAAGCTAAAAAGTCTTACCCCTGTATTGTAGTGAAGGGGCCTATTTATAAAGGGCATTTTGTATGCTCTTGGTACTTAATTTCGATGTGGGACTTGTGGGAGGGCCCTATGAGGTTGACACGAGTCCCTAGATATTTCGAGCGGGTGCTTCGAGGTTGATTCTGCAGAATCGGTAGGAGATACCGATTGTAGACTATGTTAGGCCTGTAGCGACCTTTTGCTGCTTTGAGACAATATCATCTGTTGGCGATGCTGATTGTTCGGAGCCTTGGGCACTTGGGGAGTTTAAGTGATCCACGTGTCAATGGATAGTAGGGGATACCGAGTGTAGACTGTGTTAGGCCTGTAGCGACCTTTTGCTGCTTTGAGACAATATCATCTGTTGGCGATGCTGATTGTTCGGAGCCTTGAGCACTTGGGGAGTTTAAGTGATTCACGTGTCAATGGATGAGTGGAGGATCAGATATGGTACAAACATACATAAATTTATATATTTAATGTGTTAAAAAAATTTATGTATTATTTCATGCTCTAAGGGGACCATCAGTGACAAGTAGTAATATTGTACAAACATACATAAATTTATATATTTAATGTGTTAAAAAAATTTATGTATTATTTCATGCTCTAAGGGGACCATCAGTGACAAGTAGTCATTACTAGTATTATTTCATGCTTTTACTTCTCCCATGCAATAGTATATATTTTATTTATTATAAAGCAATAGACAGTATAAAGAAACTACTCAAATCTACAGAGACTGTAATACAATTTTAAAACTTTAAAATAAAATCTAGATTTATTTTGAATGTGATCCACGAGGACATGAAGGAGAAATAACTAAAATATAGGGGCAGGAAAGGAAAAGTCCCATATATAGAAATGGAGTTCGGACTCGTGATCTAAATATAATCTAAACAGCTTATGAAGTCAGCATTTTCTTGAAATTTCACTTACATTTGCAGTTCATTTCGCGTTGTTGTTCGAAAAGCCCAACCCCCCTGAGACTTGAGAGAGAGAGAGAGAGATAGAGAGAGACAAACAGACTCAGGCACTCAGTGACTCAGCCAGATAAAAAAAAGAGAAGAAAAACTCCCCTCTTCCTTCACAACTTTGAATCTCGCCCTTATCGACTCCATGAGAGAGGTCTTGCTGCCCTGAAACGACAGCGTTTGCTCCCCGAAGAAATGGCCCAAAACCTTGAGCAGCAGCTCAAGGAGGTGGGATCGAAGCTCGAAACCCCTCATTCCTCCAAAGACGCTCTCGTGAAGCTCCTAAAGGTTTGCATTCCTCTAATTTCTTAGTTTCTATAGGCAATTTGTCTGTCTCGTTCGAAGTTAATTTGCAAAGCTCTTGGTTTCGGGGAATTTGACGCTCTCTAACGTTAGTTATTTTAGTTATTTTCTGTTTGGTTGCTAGGAACCAGTGAAAGGAAGCGAAATTAAGCATTATAAATTTCTTTTTCTAATTTATTTTCTGTAACGTATACTATTTCTCTTTGCTAATTTCTTTTTCGAAACTGAAATTCTCGGCTACAGCAAGTAATCTAACTAGTTGAATTAGGGTTTTCTTAGGGGATTAAACAGAGGGTAATTTTGAGACGTCACATTAAACTTCCTTTTTTATGGCAAGAAACATAACAAATTAACTTCCTTTTAAATTCCTTTTGGTTGAAAAATTTCAGGGCAATTTCGTTGATTTATGTTATTCATTCACTAATGCTATGTGGCTGTAGTGTCGAGTTATGTCTGAAAGCTGCACTTGTTGGTTAGATGCCAATGAAGTGAGTGGAAGAAATGAAATTGGGTTCTGAGTCTCTAGTGTTAACATGATATTGTTTACAGGATCGATATTGTTGTAAAACATATTGCTTTTACCCGTAGTTTAAGGATATGTATAGTTCACTTGTATTTTACAGGAAGATGGTTCATTCTTGCTAACTGTCTCCCAATGTACCACCTACCAGTACTAATGTGGAAGAAAAATTTACCCAATCTATGTGATAAATATGTTGGTGATCTAAAAGTAGATAGAAGTGTTTGGTCATATTGGAAACTTGAGGGTGGTGTTGCACTTAAAGAGGATCTTGATAGGTTTGTTCTGAAGTCTTATAGTTGCAGTGGTGTACTGGTGCTTGGGTGTTAAGTTGGTGATCCAATTGGAGTGATGTTTGAAGTGCTAAATAATGCTAAATAAACACAGTATGTTCGATTATGTCAGTCCTTGGAAATTTCATCCCTTGTTTGTGTAGGGTTCTTTTAATTTACTCAATTATTTTTTTATATAGCTGGTGGCCTGGTAGTGGAAAATAATTATAGAATCTTCCTTCCCAATTGCAAATGACTATTAGAATTATGGAAATTTCTCTGTTGTTTTATTTTCATTTGGGACTATTAGAATAAATCCTTATGATATTATCTTTCTCGTTCATCATTTGCCTCACCAATAAATGCGTGCTACGTGGAATTTTTTACTTTTAAAAGACACTCTAAACATTCTTCTAATCATCAGTAGGCTTTAGAGGATAATTATTCTGTAATGTGGATGCTTATACTTGTGAGACTGTTGACTTTCCATGTAAAGTTAGGTTTAATTAATGAATACTTGCTATTATTTTCTTCCAACTTGCAGCAAGCTGCATCATGTCTTTCTGAGCTGGACCAATCGCCTCCAGCATCTACATTGGAGTCAATGCAGCCTTTCCTTAATGCAATTGTCAAGCCAGAACTGTTGAAGCATCAAGATAGAGACGTCAAGCTTCTAGTTGCAACGTGTATTTGTGAGATAACACGGATTACTGCACCTGAAGCTCCTTATAGTGATGAAGTGCTAAAGGTGCATTATCAAAGTCAGCTGGTTAAATGATATACTGCACTTTCATTTTGTGAATGCGTTTTGGAATTTCACTTCCACGATCTCACCTGATTGTTCCGTACATCTTTGCAGGATATATTTCATTTGATTGTGGGCACTTTTAGTGGATTGAAAGATACAAGTGGTCCATCATTTGGTAGGAGAGTTGTCATTTTGGAGACTCTTGCGAAATATAGGTCATGTGTTGTAATGTTGGACCTTGAATGTGATGATCTGGTGAATGAAATGTTCAGTACATTTTTTGCCGTTGCCAGGTTTGTTTTGTTTCTTTGAAATATTTGTTCATGAGTTTGAGGAATGTCATGTTTTCGTAGTCTTATCATATCCTCCAAAACGTGGGATTCTCTCTAAGGTGGTCTTTGTTGTTCCCACTCTGTTTCATGAATCAATTACTTTGATTAAGTTACTTGGATCTTTCTCATCTATATATGTTACTTTATATTTCCAAGATAATGTCTGTAGATCAGTCTGATAAGGGCATCAACACCAATCTTGATTAGTTTCAAAAATAGCTTTCCTATACAAGATAGAACGAAAGATGCAATACTTTAAACAAGATAACATATGATACAGAAAATGTGAGTCCTTCAAAAAGAAGTCAACATATTATACAGCTAAACTGTATGACGAATTATTTATTTTTATTATTCAAAGAGGGTGTGGGAGGGGGGGATGTTGTGTGTTCACTGGCTGTTAGAATATATATTTTTGTTTTCTTTCTAAATGTTTATTTCTTAGAATTTAAACTGAAGTAAGAGTTTCAGCTCCAATTTAAAAACTAATGTTTTGAAATTGTCACATATGCAGAGATGATC